TGCAGACATCTGTCTGGATGTTTTAGGTGGCTGTAAAGGCTTTGAGATAGATAGAGTCTCGCTTTGTCGCCTGGGCTAGAGTGCAGTGGTGCGATCTTGGCTCACTGCAAACTCTGCCTCCCGGGTTCAAGCGATTCTTATGGCTCAGCCTCCTGAGTAATGGGGATTTCAGGTGCATGCCACTGTGCCCAGCTAATTGCAAACTGTTTATAAATTGTGCATTTCCCTGGGAAACAAAAGGCATAATCTGAGAGTTGCTGTTCAGTGAGACATCACTGGGGCCCCAGTGCTCAGGACCTCAAAGCATGGCCATCAGGGGCTCATGCTGCTGATCTTTCTGCAGCTGCTGTCAGTGGGTGAGTTGGGAAGATACTCCCTCCAACACCTATGAACGGGTCAGAGAACCCACATGCCACTGAATTGTCCCAGGAGGCCCATACTAGCTGAGCCTAGATGCCATGGCCCGTGGGTTTTACAGCTTATCCATCCAAGAGATGGGGATCAAAACGCTGAATTTCCAAACAGGGATCATACTCGCTAGAGTTCCTGATTCTCAGCGGAATTCCCGCACATGCTTCCTAATAAGCTAAAGGTAAATGTTAGGCCCTCGTAGGCAGGAGGCCCACTGACAGTGTAGCATCCCATGTGTCTGGCCAGGGCAGGCCCACATGGATCTGAAGAGCTCACACATCATCATGTTAGCATAATAGCAGCCAAGGGCATGAGGAGTCAGCTGGCGGGTGAGGGAGGGATGTCTCTACTTAGGGGGCTCCAACCCCACCCTCCCCAAGAAAGGTTCTAAATGCTAAAAGCACTCTGCAGTAAAATATTTACGCAAATAAGCAAGTGTTTTCTCCTCTAGGCGCCTGCTGGTGGTTCATGCTGTTAATCTCTTTTGGAAATGCAAGAACATGTTTTGATAAAGATCAGAAAAGCTCGGGCAGCAGAGGTATTTATGTACTCAGAAGGCTGAGCTGTTAGAGTGGGAACACTGATTCAAGGTCTCCGACGTAAAGTGAGTCAGGTGAAAAGATGTTTTCCTTTCTCCTCCATGAACACCAATCTGATTTGCAGGAAGTATCTTCCTGTCTTTCCTGCAGCCTCCGAGGTTCGGTGTGCCGGCTGGAATGACACACAGATGACAGGATGCCCGGACAACACGCATGACAATTACAACCCAATGCTGCAGGACAGACAGAGGAGGCTGGACCATGAGGTTGTCTGCCTCACAGGTAGACACGGTGCTGTGTGATTCTGCAATGCTCTGCTGTGGTTGGAGCACTCAGAGTATTTAAATGATCACCTTATCCTTACCTGGGCTTTAGTGCTTTCAGTGACCACAAATCAAAATCCACACCTCTCTATGCACATTTGGAACTCTCTGGAACCCAAACAGCCTTCTAAGTTTCCTTTCTCTTGTCAGCAAGAACTGTCTGCTTCAGCAACCAGAGTCACAGAGAATAAATCAAAGCAGCACACATACAGGGGCATACAACGTAAACACTAGGACCAGGCTGAGTCCACAGTGATCCAGGAGGCACATGAATAGCTCCAAGTCAAAAGGCCCTCTAGCCTCTGCTGGTGCCAGGGAAAAGATGAAATATTCAATGTGATATGGAAGCTAACATTTACTCAGCATTTACTATGTGGCAGGCACTGTTCCAAGTATAACTCATTTCACCAGTGAGGGAGGCACAAATGTGCTTCCCCTTTGAGGGATGGGGAAACTGAGGCATGGGAAAACTAAGAAACACACATAAATTCACCCAGCTTATTAATAAGCACAGGCTGAGATCTGAGTCAGATCTGAGTCAGATCCTTACCCATGCTACCAGCCTGCTTGTCAGCGATGCACTGTTTAAAACACAGGGGAAAAGAGAAGCAGGCAGTCCCAAGGTTCATGCCATCTAACTGCAGACTACAGCTGCTTTCTTTCTTGCTGTTTAAGAGGAGCTGTAATGAACATCCTTGTGCACTTCTCCTTGTGCACACAGGCAAGAATTTTTCTAGGGTGAAGGCCTTGAAGTACAGAGCTGCTGAGCTGCAGTGTGAACACGCTCACCTTTCCTGGGTATTGCCAGAGTGCTCCCCAAAGTGGTCGCACCAACTCCCATTCCTAGCAAGAGTGTACGGGTCTTATTTCTCCACATCCTCATGTAAACTTGGCATTATCACAGTTTCTTATGATTCCAAATATGGTTAATGTGAAATGGGATTTCATTGTTGCTTTAATTATCATTTTACAGTACTCTTGCCATCAGAAAAACAAATGTCAGAGACACTCTGAAAAGTAAACGACAGATGATAAAATCAGCTAACCGGCTCACTGGACAGTGGGCCCCACGCTGTGCCTGCAGGAGTGCTGAGGACAAGACTGACAGGTGGACGTGTAAGAGAGGGGCAGTGAGGACCTGGCCTAGAGAGGATAGCCGCATGAGTCCTCAGGAAGAGCAGAGGCCCTGGAGAAGCGGGCATGTCAGGCAGAGGGCCAGGCTTAGAGGTGGCTGAGACCAGAGCCTCCCCAGGTGTGCAAGGAAGCACTTGGTCAAAATCACAGCACTAGAATCTGAGCACAGGTCGGTCTATGGTAAGAGAGAAGCACAGATGAAGCGTGTGCTTTGTTCCTGCACCTCTCCCACACCTTCACACTCCAGAACTGATTTGTGGCAGCCTGGTAAGGTGACAGTAAGTGGATGGAGATGACCACAGAGTGAGGACTTGTCAGGAGGGTCTACCAAGGCTGGCAGTGGGAGCCAGGGGCCCTGCCAAGGTGGAGGTGGGGCTGGGGCAAGCCTGCTTCTTCATGGGGAACACCGCTCTTGTGTACTCCTGTGCCTCTGTCAATGTTTCTTGTTTTACAGTATACTGGGTTCAGATCCTGTGTAATTGGATATTAGCCCTGCTTGCTCCAGAAAAGGCTGAAGCCTGGGTGCTGTGCTGAGGTGGAGGCCTACCTGGGTGGGGGTCCTGCAAATCTCTTCACCACAGCTGTCTGCTAGGCAGACCATTTCCTACCCCAAGACTGGGCTCATGATGCAGGCACCAGATGTAGCTGGGAGCTCCCTCTCCGTTGGTCCAGGTCCTGAAACGCTCGCCTCCACAGTGGCTGCTCATCTGAGATTTTAGTAGCAGGAACCCACAATTCCAAAGGTCATCTAATTCAGAAATGCTGTACTCAGAGCCAAACACTTCTATCCAGCAACTCCAGAAATCACATAAAGGAAAAGGCAAAGTGAAAATAGGCCACAGCCTTTTTGTGCAGAAGACTTAGGAAGCTCCCTCTTAGGGAAGCAAGAGCTCAATAAATATCTCACTCTGTGTCCACCCTTCTCAGGCTGCCAGAGTTATTACCTGAAAGGCAAATCTGATTGCGCTGCTTTCCCACTCAAAGTCCTTGAATGAATTCCTGCTGCTGTTCAATACAGGCCTCCAAACTTTTTTTTAGAGATGCGAAATTTTTCTTCAAACTAACTATTAGAATCCCAAGATCAAATGCAGAAAAAACTGGTGAGTTTTACCACCTGTTTGTAAGTTTGGGTTTATAACTTTACCATAAATTACCTAGAACACAGGCTAGCCGAATCAGGGGTCTCCTGTGTGTCAGGATTCAATCAATATCCCAAAAGCTAACCTGGGGCTGGGGCAATGTTCTGTGCCTGCCGCACTTGCCTCTAATAGGCCAGTTTAAAATGTCCAGGTCCCAGGGCCACATTCTCCAGGGCACAGCAGGGAACTCACAGCAGCTCAAGACCTGGCCCAGCGTTGATCTCTACCCTTGGAGCTGTCAGTGCTCCCACAGGCTAAAAGCACTTGGTCTTGGCTGAGTGGACACCCCTCTTCCCTTCTCCCAAGGCCACCACCTATCTCCAGATCCCACTCAAAAGGAGCCTTCTACCCACAAAGACCCCACAGAGACCCCACAGAGAAGGAGCTATATGTAAGGCATTTAATGAAACCTTTTCCAGGTTGTTTATCTCACTGTATTCTCACCATGTGTCTCCCTTACAGGACCATGGGTGTCTTGAGGACAGGCACGCCCTCATTCATTAATCACCCCCTACTGTGTGTACTATGCCAGCACAAAATTTTTAATTTGTCTCTGTGAAAGGGTGGATGAGTAAAGGAACTGGGGATATTTTAAAATATAATTTGCTGCTTTGGGGAACTGGGAAAAATTAAGGCTTTTCATCAGTGTTAGTAGAGCTGGTATGCTGGCTGTAATGTAAACAAATTCCCTGGGACCCAAGGCATGTGCTTCATCTCAGCGGCTTCTTACAAGGACTGGGTGCAAGCGCTGTAGCAGAAAGATGTTTCCAGGAACATGGGAGAAAGATGTTTCCAAGTCTGCATCTTCTATGAAAAACTAGCCTGTTTCCCAAACACACATCAAAATAGCGGGATACTTCAGAGAGGAAAGGAAGGTTGATTACAAATGGTATTGCCATGAACCACAAATGAAGGGAAGAAATTCCAGGTTGACAAAACATAAATTTCATTCCATACCAAAAACCCTTAGTACCTAGCTCAGAAAACAGCCAAGAGGCCCATGGTCACCTTAGTTCAGAAAACTCTAGGCTGCTGGAGACAGGCTTTTTTTAACCTCATAAATATTTAACCAACAGCGAAGATGTCATCATTCTGACTATTGTTTCTCTCTTTTCAAACACCACTACCCCATTTTTTTTCTTTTTTGTGGGATAGGGTCTTGCACTCTCTCTCAGGCTGGAGTGCAGTGATGCAATCTTGGCTCACTGTAGCCTCAACCTCCTGGGCTCAATTGATCCTCCCACCTCAGCCTCCCAAGTAGCTAGGACTACAGGCACATGCCACCATGGCTGGCTAATATTTTTAGTGGCTTTTTTTTGATAGAGATGGTGTCTCACAATGTTACCCAGGTTGGTCTTGAACTCCTAGGCTCAAGCGATCCACCTGTCTTGGCCTCCCAAGGTGCTGGGATTATAGGCATGAGCCACCACGCCTGGCCACCGCCGCTCCCTTACCCAGGATAATGCCGTTGGGTTCCTCTGGAGGTTGCCACACGATCCGCACGGAGGTGAGTCTCACTTCGGGGAACACAAGCCTCACTGGTGGGCCTGGGGCTGAAGGTAAAACCACAGTGATTCAGATGTCAAGACCATGTTCCTAGGGTGTGTGACAGGTTATACAGGGTCGTGAGGGCCAGCTGTGTACAGTAACTACCACAAACTACACTGTCGTTGGTTTAGAACCCTCTGAAATTTTGGACAGATGACTTTTGGAACCTCACGGCTAGTATAACTCCCTCAGGATCTTGAGAAAACACTTCACTTTAAACCCTGCCCGTCTGCTTTCTATGACTCAAAAGCAGGGCTCCTGAACTATGCCAGGAACAGTGTGAGAGCAACCAACATACTGGGAAACAAGTATACCAGTCACTGAATGACTCTGAGAGCAAACATCAGGTTGAGAGAGAAGATTTCCCTCATCTGAGCTCAGATCCCCTTACTGGGGTTGCCATCTGCGAAGCAGGTGATAGATAAGGTGGCCTGAAGTTCCTCCCAACTCTAACCGAGGTTACAATTTCTGATGAAACAACGACTTTATCCTCAATCATTCTTCCCGTAGGCATGCCACCTCTCTCCCGCACCATCCTAGAAAATTAAGAGTTGATGTGCAGAAATGCATATAATAATTCTTGCGTGTGGTTTGGTGCACCGATAATTCAAAAAGCAGTTAGGTGTGGTGGAGCTGCTCAATAATAGGGTCAGAGCCCTCATAAAATACATTTACTTAAATGTATAGGCAAGTAAGTGTGTGGCCAGTATGAGAGCTTCTTGTTGGAATTAATAACTGATTGATTCCCAGATAAGAGGCAATGGGCATGAAACAATCAATATGAAAATAAAAGCCTGTGTGTTCGTCATTCTAGGCCTCTGAGTTCTGCCCCTGGCTATGAAGCTGGAAACAGTGTGTTGAACGTGTGTTGTGACACCTATTCTGGGGTGAAATAAATGTCTGAAGGAGGCCACAGGCTCTTGCAACGAGGACTAGGTCACAGATACGCAAACATTGACTTCAGCCTTAAGTAGCGTCGCTTTCCTGAGCCCTCTCCTGGGCTGTTTATTGGTAATACACTGGAATGAGGAGGAGGAAAGGCATGTCTACAGGAGGGCTGTGAGAGAGGAAGAAACAGCACTCCAGGACTCACCAACGCGTGCATCAAGATGGGTAGCTACAGTGGGCCTGGTGTTAGACATAGTTTCCAATATGCCCCTTTTTACTTTCATTTGGGAAACCTGGAATGCACCACTCTGGAGCTGCAGATTGCTTTGCAAAGAAACAATATCCACATTCCCTTCCTCTCCTCGACACTCCTCTAGCCTGAGACCCTGTGTCAGGGAAGGATGGACAAGACCTTCCATAGGGCTCCTTTCTCTCCCTGGGGCTGGGCTCAGCTCAGGGATGGTGGTCTCTGAATCACCTGGAGAGAGTGCTTTCCACTCAGCAGTTAAGAGAATTTCCAGGCTAAGTTAGTTACTTAGCAAAGATGCTTAAGGAAACCTACAGTCGTTTCACTTTTTCAGCTGCTTCTGATTATTCCCAAGGTGGGTGTTTTGCGGGGGGTGAGATCAGTATTTCTCCCCCTGATGTATTCATTACAGTCTGTTTAATAATGAAAATGTAACGGCACTAACCTTTACCTCTTTGACATCTGCAAAGCAGGAAAACATATTTACGGATGATTTAGGCTTCCATAAAAAAAGCTGACAAGACGTGCTTGTTATTCAGTCTGGAAGCACGGGGATCTGGGGACCTTGGGGTGTCAAACACGGGGCTTTCTACAACTTCTAATTATCTCTCGCAGTGCAAATGGTGAGATCGGGGCGGTGCCCAGAGAATTAAGGCATGAGGCCCGCTGTGGATTTTTAAACTGTAGTTGTCCACCTTGTCTGCAGTTCAGGCATCCCCTAGGGGTCCTGGGCTGTGTTGCGGGATAAGGGGGCACTACACTGGGTGTGTGTAGCACCGGCCAAGAGGAGCATCCACAGCTCACATCCACAGCTCAGCCCAGCCCCAGCCTTTACTGCCTCTTCCCAGCACTGCCCATAGCAGAGTTATGAGGGAAATTGCATAGGTTCATAATTAGGCTGTAAAAATCCACTCCAGGCTGAAATTGGCCATATAAATGCTCAGCGACTGAAAAACAATTTTGTTTTGTTTCCCTCAACTGCAAAAGAAAGTGGTTTGAAAATTAAGTTAAAAGCGACAACAACCCAAACTGCTTGCATTGGAAACACCAAGCTGGGAGGCTGCGAGGCCTGTGAAGGCACGAAGCCTGGACATACCGTCATCCTTGGTGCGCTCCAGGATGAGGGGCGTGCTGGGGACCCCGTTCCCGATGCGGGTGAACGCCAGCACCTGGAGCTCGTAGAGCACAAACTTGCGCAGGCCTGCCAGCAGCGCCGACTGCGTGTGGTTCCCTCGCACCACGTGACTCCTGGGCTCTGCATCCAGGTCTTTGGCCCGGAACAGAATCTGCGGCATCGACACAGTATGAGGGTTATGAGGCGGCGGATGCTGGGAGGGACCTCTGTGGCATAGGGCAGGCCACCGTCATGAATCAAGGCCTAGCCAGCTGTGCTTGTCCCTGAGGACAGCTGCCTGCAAGGCTAATCTGTACCCACTGGTGTTGGGGGAGGAAGGTGGTGGTAGAGTGACTATGCTCCAGGGGATCTTGAGTTAGCATCCACAGCTTGGCAAGTCTGCTGCCTGATCATAATTTGCATGGTCTGAGGGCCCAACTGCCGCCATGCCAACCACAGCCACTAAAACAAAGACTCGATGATGGACACAGACACATTCTGCTTCCTGCCACAGGAGCCAGCAGCCCACTGGGTTTGGCAGCCATGGAAGCTGGGTTCCTGTCCCAGAAGACCTGCTCTCCTCACACAGATGGGAGCTCCAGCCTCCTTGGCCATCTGCAGCTGTGCAAGCTGTAGGCACCCCACTCCAGGCTGCTCTGCCCCAGGGTACCCTACCACAGGCTGCTCTGCTCCAGGGCACCCCACCCCAAGCTGCTCTCCTCCAGGGCACCGCACCCCAAGCTGCTCTCCTCCAGGGCACCCAACCCAAGCTGCTCTCCTCTAGGGCACCCCACTCCAAGCTGCCCTGCTCCAGGGCACCCCACCCCAAACTATTCTCCTCCAGGGCACCCCACCCCAAGCTGCTCTACTCCAGAGCCTCCTGCTAAGTCCTCACTCAACACCCACCCTCTCTGAACTACTCCCTGAGATCAGGGACCTGGAAGGCCATAAAGGACAGAGTCATCAGAGGCATTTAAAAATAGCAGAGCAAGCATGTTTCTGTGGGCCCCAGGAAGGTAGTGTGGAATTTTGGTCACTGAACCAACTCAACAGGGCTGCCATGTATCACAGAGCCAGTAGGGAACATTTAGAATGCCCAGGGAAGGGGGAAGGCATAGGAGAGCAGGTGAGGGAAGCAAAGAATAGGGATGTGAAGTATGGAAAGGCAGAGGAGAACGCTCAAAACCTAGGGAGCAGCAATGTGACAAGCATGGCCTTGCTGGCTGGGTCCAGAAATGCTCATTCTGATGTCTGGCATTGCTGAGCCAAGGAGCAAATGGGGAGACAGAGCCTGTTGCCCCTGAGGAACAGAGCGGGGCTTGAAAGGGCTGGGGTGGATGCATGGAAGATGGAACCCAGAAATGGTGCCCCAGAGAAGCTGGGATAGACCCAACCCTTCCAGCTGATGCCATTGCTGGGACTGTGAGGACACACATAGAAACATGCACACAGCGATCCACCTCCGCCAGCCCTTCACATGAGCAAGGTGTGCTGTGTAAAAGACCCATTGAATTCTCACACCAACCCTGGGATGAAGCTACCATTGTTTTTCCCATTTTACAAGTAGGGAGACACAGGCACAGGCCCCTCCTGCTGTGCTTTCCTTCAGGCACCGTTTTGGCATTTGTGATGTGGTTGTACTAATGCCTAATTCCCAGAGAGCAATGAGGCTTAGATAAGACAATTGGATGCATTTTTTTTTTTGGAGATGAGTCTCTGTCACCCAGGCTGGAGTGCAGTGGAATGATCTTGGCTCACTGCAACCTTTGTTTCCTGGATTCAAGCAATTCTCCTGCCTCAGCCTCCTGAGTAGCTGGGATTACAGATGCATGTCACCATGCCCTGCTAATTTTTTTGTATTTTTAGTACAGACGGGGTTTCACCATGTTGGTCAGGCTGGTCTTGAACTCCTGACTTTGTGATCCACCCGCCTTCACCTTCCAAAGTGCTGGAATTATAGGAGTGAGCAACAGTGCCCAGCCGACAACAGGTTGTATTAATAAAAATCACAAACTGGTGGGTGCTGCAGATCTGTGGGAGAATAGAAGGCTCATTGCTTTGGGGGAACGGCACATGGTTGAATTTCCCCAGCCCACTCTTTATGCAAAGGTAAGTCACCCCATCACACACCTTGTAGCCCAGTATGAGTCCATTCTGGTCCTGCTCTGGCACAGAAGCCCACGTCAGTAAAATCTGGGTTGAGCTGACAGCCTCAGCTGACACGTTTTCAGGGGCGGCTGAAGGAACTGCAAAGAACCAGTGAAGTAGATTGGCATCCAAAGTCTAAAGCTTCTACAAATAAAGATCCAGTTTTCACCCAAATAATCAAGTTGTCCTTGAAATAGCAACGTATTCTGAGCATTCTGTAGTGATCAGATTAAACCTGCAGGAGTATAACAGACATGTAAATCTCTTTAATATTTGCAACAAATCCATAAATCCTGGGTATTTAGCAGCTCAATTTTACCTGAGTCCACCCAGCAAGAAAAACAAAAAAGATGCTTGGTCTGTTTGCTGTATTAACTTGTAGAAACGGCAGACTTTTATCTCAAATAGGAAATCCTCACTTTCAGACACACGCCAGTTCACTGACAGCTCTAAACATGGTATTCCCTGACAGGGACAGGAGAGGCTGAAGAGAGGAGGGGACAAGAGGATTTACATAAAAGAAGGGGAAGGGAGGGCAGGTTGACTAGGTGCTTATCCGGTGCCTGTCTGTGCCAACTGCCTTTGGTTATGTAATTGCATCTAATCCCACAATGATCCCAGTGAAGTAGGTATCATTACCCCTTTTCTACCAGTGAGAAAACTAAAGCTGAGAAAATTGCATTCGTTCATTTTAATGAGTGCTTTTCTACAAGGAGATGGGCAGCAGAGGCCAGCCATGCCCTTCTTGACCCACGCACATGAAAGATAGTTTTCTTTTTTTTTGAGACTGGAGTGCAGTGTTGTGATCTCAGCTCACTGCAACCTCCACCTCCTAGGTTCAAGCAATTCTCCTGCCTCAGCCTTGAAAGTAGTTGGGATTACAGGCATGCACCTTACACCATACCTGGCTAATTTTTGTATTTTTAATAGATACAGAGTTTTACCACGTTGGCCAGGCTGGTCTTGAACTCGTGACCTCAAGTGATCTGCCTGCCTTGGCCTACTAAAGTGCTGGGATTACAGGTGTAAGCCACCATGCCGGCCCACATGTCAGATCATTTTCTTACTTTCATGCAATCTCTCTTCTGTCTAACCTATCAATGAACTAATTTGTCTTGATAGGTTTGCAATGATTCAGATATAATGTGTATAAAATCAGTGAAACTTTAAAAGGGCATTATATTCTAGATAATCTCAATTTGCTTTGTTAATTTTCTTGTGGACCCATTTAAACTTCAAATACCATTCAGATAAGAAAACCTGGACCTGAGCTACCCTCCAGCAAAGTCAGAGAAGGTACTATTTATCAACAGCATGGAGGAGTTGCTCTCGGTTGGGCCTGAAGATCCCACCACACTTCAGGGCCAACATGGTTGAAAAAGGAGACACTTCAAGTCCAACATGTCCTATGGGGGAGGGGGTCCCATGGGAGCCCCCCAGAGCAATGGAGGCTCTGGGAGGTTATTGCTTGGTGGCAAAGTCTCCTTTTGAACTTGGGTGGTCTCCAGGATATCCAGGGAAGTAGCCTGGGGTGACAGAGTAAGGCCAGACTCAGGGTGGAAGCCAGGGATGCTGCTTCAATCACCTGTGTCTCAGTTGTCCATTTGTGAAAGGCTAAGCCTGGCCTACCTTCCTTCAAGTCTTCTCCCTCTCCCCTCTTGGTAGCCAGCACTTGTTGGTCAACAGGTGATCAATAGTTAGTTGTTTTGAAGAAAGTGAAAGGAGATGCTATGACTAGTCCTAGCCTACAGAGTGAGAATGAAAGCAAACTCTGAGAAGTGTCTGGTAGCGTGCTGGCACACAGAGGTGAGTGGAAGCATCTGTTTCCTTCTCCTTTGTAAGCCTACTAGGGCTCCAAGATGCAGGATGCACACACACCTCTGTAGCAGGAATACTCGCAGGGCTTGCTCTGCTCTTTCATACACTTATCCATCCATCCATCCATCCATCCATCCATCCATCCATCCATAAATCGATCCATTCATCCATCCATCCATCCATCCATCCATCCATCCATCCATCCATCCATTCATCCATAAATCAATCCATCAATCCATCCATCCACCCACCCACCCACCCACCCATTCATTCATCCTTCCATCCACCCATGCACTCATTCATTCATCTACCATCCATCTATCCACTCACCCATCACCTATCCATCCATTCATTCACTTATCCATTCCTTCAGACATTCAGACTTCCTCCTCATTACACAGACTGAGAGGGTAGCAATGTTATTTAGTCTAACATGGGGAGGGGATTGCACAATAATGCAAACTGTGACATTTGATTGTCATGCTGCATAGGGTGGGCCCCCAATCCAATATGACTAGTGTCCATATGAAAAAAGGAATTTGGACACAGACACACACATAGGGAGAGTGCCATGGGAGGAGACAGACACACACACAGGGAGAACACCGTGGGGACATGGGAGAGAGGCTGCCCAGGCCATGGAACCACGAGACGCTGGAGAGGGTCCCAGGACAGATCCTTCCCAAGTCTCCTGGGGGATCATGGCCCTGCTGACACCTCCAGCTCAGATTTCACCTTCCAGAATGGTAACAGGATACATTTCTGCCATTTAAGCTGCCCTGTTTGGGGTATTCTGCTATGATACGAACACAGTTTTTAAGACAATGCCAGTGTTGGTGTGCATCCTAGAAGAGCTGTTCTCATGCTGTATAGCAAGCTTCTTCCCTCACCACCAAACAGGCATTTCTCTAGACAAGAGAGGGGCAAGAAAGGGCAGGCCATAGCCTAACAGGGCCAGCAGCTGAAGATGACTAAGCCTCAGGATGGGGGGGGTCAGTGATCACACCGCACCCTCACCACTGTGGGTCTACCCAGAGGAGAAATCACAGAGGAGCTTGAAGAGCAAAAGCCTGAGATGCCTGCCCCCAGGGAGGGGCATGTTCCCTGGTCCTGAGAGTCCTGGGAGTCAGCAACTCTCCTGAACCCTTCTCTCCCTACCATGCTGGGCACCTTCCCTGCACAGGCATTAGATCGGCTATTGGGTATAGGTCAGTGAGTGTGTCCACAAAATAGAAAATCCCCAGTTATGCCTGTCACTATAAAATCACAGTGAGCCCCCTTGTATTTTTGGAAGGAGATAATGTCAGTTAGTCTAATCTTCCCAAATATGTCAGGTGAGTCATTCATTCAGTTATTCAGTGCGTTAATGAAACAATATCAATTTATTTGAGCAGAGAGCTGTCATAGAAATGGAATACTTGCAATGTTAAGTTTGCTCCGTTCTCCAAAGAAGAAGGGAGCTTGTCACAGATGCAGCCATGGGTTCCTGGTGCCTTCCAGCTATGGCTCCACCTGGCTTACTCCTGCTCCCTAGGCCTGCACAGAGCTCCCATAGGATGTCTTAAATACCACCATGGCTATTATCAGGAAATGGTTGCACATTGCTTATATTATAAAAAAGATTGATAGGCCCGGCCTGGTGGCTCATGCCTATAATCCTAGCACTTTGGGAGGCTGAGGCGGGCGGATCACCTGAGGTCAAGAGTTCGAGGCCAAACTGCCCAACATGGAGAACCCTGTCTCTACTAAAAATACAAAATTATCTGGGCATGGTGGCCTGTATTCTCAGCTACTCAGGAGGTTAAGGCAGAAGAATCACTTACACCCAGGAGGCAGAGATTGCAGTGAGCCGAGATTGTGCCATTGCACTCCAGCCTGGGCAACAAGAGTGAAACTCTGTCTCAAAAACAAATAAACAAACAAAATTGATAAACCCTGAATAAACTATGAACTAAAGGGGACATTAGCATGAAACAGAAGGTAAATCTATAATGTATCTGACTTTATTCAGAATAAGATAAGAACACTAAACACACTGTATGCCCAAGATGTTGGTACTAGGTCCTAAAACCTCTGTCCCTGTCTGTAAAAAGAGAGGCCACTGCCACAGCAACATAAATGTTCCACTTCTGTAATCCTTAACTGCTTCCTGTGGGTCACTCTTTGAAACTGTAAGTGCCCAATTCTCCTTATAGACCTACAAATCACAGCTGTTTTCCTAAGATGTGGTAGGATTGCATCTAGTTACTGGAGAGCCAACTGTGCCCTCGAAGAACGAGGGAAACCTGGGGATTGCAGCAACTCAGACACCTACTGGGCTTTGAATGTGGCTGAGTTTCTTACATGGAGACAGGGAAGTGGGGTGGCTAAAGCAGAAAACCTGGCAGGGTTCAGGATAAAAATTTCAGCAAATTCAAATTCTCCCAGGACAAGATCTGTCCTGGAGTTGGAAAGTTTTCAAGAATTAAAAAAGAAACCTCTTACCCATCATCTATTTTGAGGTAGATGCAACTGCTTTTCTAATCTGACATCTTATGTTTTGAGATACTCTTAGGAATTCCCCTCTCATTAAAAACAAAGCCATTCCATGGCTTATTTTCTCCTTCATTTTTTTCTCTCCCCTCTGTAGGCTTTTACACTATGTAGTTCGTTATTACTTCTCATGTGGTCCCTCTTGGTTTTTAAGGCCTCGTTTTTCCTTAGAATATATCATAATATATCATAAGATGTCACAGAATCTGTTAAACTGCACTTCAAAACTGTAAACATCATTGAAATGTGGCTCCAAGTGTTCTGCTCTGTGTTCCTTGCATGTTTTCAGCACTCCTGCACACTGCACCATTCCTAAGCACCTAGGAGCTGCTATCTCCATGGAGGGGAGACTTATTTCAGAAAAAGGGTAGTGGTTTTATTCTCTCTCCAATCCCTCTCCCTCTCCATTGTGTCCACGTTACCATTCAACTCTGACAACCCCTTCACCTCCCTATCTCCTCCCTGCCTCCCCTCATCTCAAAAAAGGACTGAGTTCACTGCTGGGGAGGGTAAGTGTCAGATGTCAGTAGAGCCAGGGAAGGCAAAAAGTCAAAATTGCTGGACCTGGGAGGGTCCTACCAGTCAGAGGTGGAGAGATTCCCAGAGGAGGCTGTGAAAGCTCCATTCTGATTGGCTAAAATGTGGGGACACTGAAGTCCCGGAGCATCTGGGCACCTGAGAATCCCCAGGTGGGAGGAGGAGCTGAGACAGAGAAGGGGGAGGAGGAGCTGAGACAGAGAACCAGCAC